TTGGTCGACATCCTTTGGCCGGTTCTAGAGGTGAAATATCTTTACTTTATTTAATTTTATTTTTCTGTTATTTTCCTTTTTCGAAAGTAGTTTCTTACAAAGTGTAACAAGACATAACTTGTCTTGAAATTCTTGTATTTTGCTCTCGGATCATTAGCAAAGAAAAAAAAAATTAGAAGCAAAAGAAAAAAAAAGGAAAAAAAAAACAGAAGCAAAAGAAAGRAAAAACAGTAGYAAAAAGAAACAAAAACAGTAGCAAAAAGAAAGAAAACCGTAGAAAAAAAAAAGCATTCGAAGATCCGAGGCACASGAAAGGKTCTTTTCATTATGTTGTGTTTTGTTTAAATTATCAAGTTGTTTATCCTAAGATTGAGTTTCTGTAGTCTTAGTTTGTGAGAGTTGATCATTGAATTAGTTATATCAAGCTTTAAGCAAGATTGCACCAAAATTTAAGCCAACCCTTAYATCTTTGACCTAGTACCAAAAGCCTACCCTTGAGTGATAAACACGAGTGTCCTTGAGYGAAATCTTGGTGAGAAGAGTGGTAAGGTYCTTATTATCATTATTATTGTTTCTAACAAAATGGCACAGGATGGAGTACCACAAGTACCGCAAGATCCTAACATGGTGATTCTTCAAGCAATTCAAGGAATGATGGAAATGATGATGGAAGATAGACAAGAAAGGAGAGCKCAACAACAAAGAGAAGAACGAGCCTTACAAGAAGATGATGCGTTTGACCTTGCTGAACAAGAAGGACAAGTTGGAGGAAGAAGAAATGGGAGAGGAAGAGGACGAAATAACTTTGCCAACGTCATGCAACCTAGAAGATTGGAAAGATTAAATGAAAATAGGGATGGCGGAGTTAAACTCAAAATTCCACCATTTAGTGGAACGGCGGACCCCGATGCTTACTTGCGATGGGAAAGGAAGATAGAACGTGTATTTCATTGCTCTACATATAGTGAAAATAAGAAGATGAGACTTGTCATTGCCGAATTCATTAATCATGCTAATGAATGGTATCAACATCTCAAATCCGAGAAAAGAAGGAAAGATGAGGATCAAATTGAAACTTGGGAAAAACTCAAAGAAGCCATGAGAATGAGGTATGCTCCCAAACATTATAAAAATGATTTGAAAACTAAACTGCAAGCTTTGAGGCAGGGAACAAAAAGTGTTGATGAGTATTATCAAGAGATGGTGATTTTAATGGAAAAAGCACACATTCGAGAAGAAGAGGAAGAAACCATGTCTAGATTCCTTGGAGGTTTGAATCTGGAAATTGTTTAGGGTTTAGGGTTGTACTCATCCCTCTTTTTTTTCCCTCCAGCCTTGCAGGTATTGAGCTAACTCTTGGAATGGTGATGGCGAGGAGGAGACTTGGCTAGAGAGACCATTTAATGATGTGTTGTTAAGTTTCAATTTGGATAGGATAGTTATAGTTGTTTATTTGTAACTTGAGTCTGCTATTAGATTAATAAATTGGATTGTTAAGTTCCATTTTTAAAGGATGTTTTAGGGCTGACAGTTCACTATTCTCTTGATAACATTAAATGTTGTTTATCTACTTGAACTTTGATGATGTGATCTATTGAGTATATTTATAAGGATAATACATTTGTTCAAACTGAACTTTAGTTAGCCTTTGCTTGGCTGCTATTCGAGAAAGTTAGTTTTATGTAGTGGATAACTTATGATTAGTGAAGTTTTTGGTGAAAAGTTTCTATAAGGTTGGATTGTTACTAAATTATTAACTAAGAAGAATTTGAGTTTCGTTAGAACTTTAGTGTTGTTTGTTTTGTTTAGTGCAAGCTTTTGTAAGTGTTATTAATCAGAGTAGCGTAGCGGAAGTGTAGTAAGAATTTGTCATAGTTTGTATTTCTAGTGGTTTAATTCTCTAGTATGAGTGATACTTTTTTAGTGGTTTTTAGTAACGGTCCTTGTTGGACTGTTAAAAATCCTGAGGCGTTACAAAGTCAGGCAGCATCGTTCAAGAATCTGAAGATGCAAGTGGGCCAATTAGCAACATATTTGAAAAGTAAACCCAATGGAGTGCTACCCAGTGATATTAAGGTGCCCAAGAGGGATGGGAAGGACCAATGTAATGCTCTAACATTGCGGAGTGGCAAGACATTTCCTATTACCCATCCAAATGCTCCAGGAATTCGTAAAAAGAATTAAATCAAGATGAAAGAAGTAGGCTACAAACAAAAGAATGCGAGTCAGCCGGAGCACCTGTAATCATGCCAGTCAAAAAAAGGGCAAACCTTAGGCAGTTAGTGAACAGTAACGAGTAGATAGTGGAACTGCAAAGCAACACAAGTAAAGGTCAACCTAGTAGAAGCTAGGGCAGCCAAAACAGAAGCATCAAATCTGCATATGACTAGAAAACAAAAGCAGACAGAGCATAAAAATGCTCCAGCTGAGTATCGACCCGCACCACCATACCCAAAGGGCTGCAAAAGAAAGAGTAGCATGTGCACTTTAGAAAGTTTCTTGATGTGTTGAAGCATCTACATGTGAACATACCTTTGGTGGAAGCTTTAGAGCAAATGCCAAATTATGTGAGATTCTTGAAAGAGATACTCACAAAGAAGAGAAAGCAGGGAGAATATGAAACTGTAGCAATGACTAAGGCATGCAGCAGTATCCTCACAAGCAAAATTCTAGCAAAGATGAAGGACCCTAGGAGCTTCACCATACCTATTTCCATTGGAGGACAGAAAATAGGGCTTGCATTCTGTGATCTGGGAGCCAGCATCAACCTTATGCCCTTATCCATTAACAACAAGCTGGGTATAGGAGAAGCAAGGCCCACAATAGTAACTTTGCAACTAGCGGATCGATTTATCACCCATCTAGAGGGAAAATTTGAAGATGTTCTGGTACAAGTAGATAAATTCATTTCGCCTGCTGACTTTATTATTTTGGATTATGATGTAGATAAGGAGGTTCCTATCATTCTTGGGAGGTCATAATTTGCAATGGGAAGAGCATTGGTGGACGTCCACAAAGGGGAGTTGACAATGCGCGTTCAAGATCAGGAAGTGAAGTTCTCAGTCTATGATTCCTTGAAGTTTCCTGCTGAATCATAAGAATGCTCAGTATTGAAGATTTTGGATGAAGCCTTAATGGAGGAATTGAGTGCATAAGCAATGTTGGAGCATTGTGTAAGTAAGGATGCTGGAGCTCAATAAGGTTTTAGTGATGGGAATAAAGAGATGATGGCAAAGGAAGATGCTATCACTGAGATAGAGACCCCAGCACCTGGAGAAGAGTATAAAAATGTTGAACTGTCACATGCTCCAGCACAACATGCAGAAGCTAGTAAGAGCCAACCAAGTGGAGAGATGGTGGATCCTCCAGCATCTTGTGCCATGAATCAAGAAACAAAGCCTTACAACCTCGGTGGATAAACTGCACATCATTGTAGAGGAAAAACCATAAAACTTACCTAAAAAAGAGCCGCCCGACATCAAACCGATTCTAAAAGGTTCAGAAGCAAGGATGAGAAGACCAAAAAGAGAGCTGGAAGCATCATGAATCAAAGAGAAAAAGGCAACACCTTCCATGTCGCCGGCCAAGGTACGAATAAAGCAAGCGGGCACAACTCCAGTCACCACTTCAAGAAAAACAAAAAGGTAAAAAAGAGAATTTTCATTTCCCCAACTGAGGGGAAGAGGTATGCTGCAACTATTTCGCAAGAGTATGCCCTAGCCGCAAAGAGAGAGAATAAGACCATAGATCCAGAGAGGAAGATCAGCCCACGGGCGACTCGTTGGATGAGAAAGAAGCCAAAGAACATTGACATGCTTGACCCGTGAGAGGGAACTTTATTTCCTTTTTGCTCTGAAAAATGACCCCCCCAGTTGTTGTTACTTTTTATTTTCTGTAGTATAGTTTAGTTCTGCTTTAAATTCCTGCATTTTAAAATTTCTTCATTTAATTTCTGCCTTTACATGGGGTAGTTTCATTATCGTTTAATCGGTATGTTGACCCCCACCCCTCCCTTTTGAAATTAATGAAAAAAAAAGTTGTTAGCAATCCTGTATTCTCAACATCTTCCCTTTGCCCTACCCTATATGTATAGTCTTGATGCTAGAGCCTGCTAGCGTGCAGTTTTTCCTGTTGACGCTGGAGCATTTTAATGAGAGTTAGCTTTCTTTTGTTCTCCCTCTAGTTCATATTTGCCTGCACATGCCCTAGCATCCCTCTAGTAGTACTGGCCAGGGAGTGCTTACCCTCTGAAGGAATTTCCATGGCTATCTATCCAACGCCAACCTTTATCTTTGTATAGCTAGCATGGACTTCTTCTATTAGATCCTCATAGTAGTAGCATTAACCCTCCACACTCATGTCTATATCTTGACGGCGAACATCCTTATACTTCTCATATTACTTTCGTTTTAAGTTTGGGGGTGTGCTAGCGCTTTAAATTCTAGATGTCCTTAGCCGCATTAAGGATAATGCAACCTTTTAAGTTTGGGGAAGTGAACCTTCAATTCTTATATCTTTATTAGCATTTGTATATAACCATGAATCTTTCTAATTCTGTAATTCAGCCTTTGAAAGAAAAGATATAATAAAAAAAATCCACAACAAAGGAGGGGCTAGTAGCCCACATCCAGAGCATAAAGAGGCTGCAGGATTAGAAAGGCTAGTGGCCCATGGTTAAGAAGCCCAAGTGGGTAGTACAAGGTTTAAAGGTTTAGGCTAGTGAAAGGGGCTTGAGAAAGGAATCCTTAGGAGAAGTTAAGCTTAAGGTTGGGAAGTAGAATGAAGCTAGAGTTGGGTAGAAAATAGTGTCTTCCAGAGTGTGAACAAACTTAGATTTCTTTCATTTCTTTGCTCCAGCTAAAGTACTTAGTAGAGTACGTAAGTTCTAGCATTTTTAATCAAAATGAAAGGGTGAGGCATATGGCTGGATGCTTGAAGTGCAGGTTTCTAACATTCTTCTTTTTTGAACAGAGCTAAAATACATGCTCTTGTTTCAGGACAAGCAAGATTTTAAGTTTGGGGGTGTGATAACTCTCCAAAAGAAAGTTCTTCAAGTGTTTATTTTGGTAGTTTTATACGATTAATTGTCAAAGTGTGTCGGTTCTGGTGTGCAATTAGCATAGAAAAGAGTAGAAAATGGATTCTGAAATGTTGTAGCTAAATATTGCACTAAATGCTCTTATTTATGGTGTAAATGCACAGGTTTGGAAAAGGAAGGCAAAGTATGAAAAAATTGCTGAGTCTTGAGAAGAGTGGATGAAGCACGTTCATGTCAGAGTAGATGAAAGCTGGAGCGAAGCAAAGCTAGAACATGGATTCACTGTGCAGTAACAGCCCAGACACGGGATTTACCGTGTCTGTACAATTTTTAGCTTGGTGCCCTAAAAACGGAACCCGATATAAAAGGGGTATGTTACCCTAGCCGCCACACACAGATCCCAATGGAGACACACTTTTGAGAGCTGAAACGACAAGGGGGAGGATGCTATCCATTTTCGGGGCGATAGCTAACGACAGAAAGGGGAGGCTCACCTGCTTCGACGAGCTGTCTACTTCTTCTTCTCTGCTTCCTTTTGTTGCTTCCTTGAAATAGGTTGTATTCTACTTTCTTCCATTTTGTTTTTTTCGCCCATGTTGAGCAAAACCCCATCTTTGGGGAGATTTATATGATGTAACTAACTTGATACTGAACCTCTAGCTGCTGCATCTATTTTTAAATAAAGCTGTTTTGTATATCTTCAATCTTGCGTGATATTGTTGACCACTCTGTCGTGTTTGCTAGCTTCTGTATTGACTCGGGAGGGCTTATGGGTCCTGATTTGCTTTATTTGTGATTAGTGATTTTCTATAGCTTTATGGATACTCAAGAATGAGGTCCCATAATCTTTTCTAGAGCTTGCGTTTATTGCTTGGGTATTTAGATAGATGTTAGTAAGCTAGAGGGTAGGTTGATAACCTGTGAAAGTATGCTGAATCTCCCCCACTTTTCCATATTTGTTATCTCCCCATTTTTATATTCTGTGTTATAGCTTCTTTCTGTTATCAGCTTTTCGAAGTATGTCTGCTGCTGAGATTTGTTTAATACTTTTTTATTGTATTTTTTTAGTTACAACACAACACTCATATTTCTTTGTTTTTACACATTTGGTATCTGCAAACATCGTTTAAAATATTATCCAACGTCCCTATGGATTCGACCTCGTTTCGTACTACAATTGCCAATTTCATGTATACTTGTACGTGTTGTCAGCACGGTTGTATGGACACAACACCTACATAGAAAACAGACGCTGGATTAGCTGGATAGTTCTCATACAAGTGGTTATCACCACAATAAACACAAGATATATCTAGAATTTGTAGAATAGGAGAGGGTTCAAGCATCGCCAAAGTGGCGATTTTGGTTTCCTTCTCCATTGTCAGCTGCTTTTGGGCTTGCATTGAAGCTACTATGTCTAACTCAAAGATTCCGGCTGATACTTGCTGATAAGAAAACAATAGCCAATTGGATCTAAGAACCCTTATGGTTATGCAAACCCCTAGATCACAAGTGCTAAAACCCCCAAATCAAGATGATGT